ATGCCTTCAAAAACACGGAACACTCCTTCCCTATCATGCCGTTGGTCGCAAATACCAGAGGGGTGAATGTGCCCCGATCGATCTGATTCACTCGCTCTGCGTAATGCCGCTTTTTTTCCCGCTCATTGCGCTCCAATTGGCTCATGGCTTTTTCACGAGACAGCAGGGTGGCCCTGGGATGCGTTACCCGGATATCGAAGAAGGCCTCCTGCTGCCGCGTCCAAAAGCCACGAGCCCTGACGTCAAGCCGCGCTTCCTGGGATCGGTTAGATGTTGACCATGCCAATGTCTCACCACCAAATGGGAGAAGGTTGGGCTCGATTGCCACATCGGGACTTACACTTCTGAGTAGTTCAGCGATGAGATCACGTATCTCATTATGCCTTGCGGTGGGATAGCCACCACAAGGGCACACCATGGCATGGTCAGTCGACAAGTTAGCTCCGCATACACACTACTAGTACTACTACTACTACTACTACTACTACTACTACTACTACTACTACTACTACTACTACTACTACTACTACTACTACTACTACTACTACTACTACTACTACTACTACTACTACTACTACTACTACTACTACTACTACTACTACTACTACTACTACTACTACTACTACTACTACTACTACTACTACTACTACTACTACTACTACTACTACTACTACTACTACTACTACTACTACTACTACTACTACTACTACTACTACTACTACTACTACTACTACTACTACTACTACTACTACTACTACTACTACTACTACTACTACTACTACTACTACTACTACTACTACTACTACTACTACTACTACTACTACTACTACTACTACTACTACTACTACTACTACTACTACTACTACTACTACTACTACTACTACTACTACTACTACTACTACTACTACTACTACTACTACTACTACTACTACTACTACTACTACTACTACTACTACTACTACTACTACTACTACTACTACTACTACTACTACTACTACTACTACTACTACTACTACTACTACTACTACTACTACTACTACTACTACTACTACTACTACTACTACTACTACTACTACTACTACTACTACTACTACTACTACTACTACTACTACTACTACTACTACTACTACTACTACTACTACTACTACTACTACTACTACTACTACTACTACTACTACTACTACTACTACTACTACTACTACTACTACTACTACTACTACTACTACTACTACTACTACTACTACTACTACTACTACTACTACTACTACTACTACTACTACTACTACTACTACTACTACTACTACTACTACTACTACTACTACTACTACTACTACTACTACTACTACTACTACTACTACTACTACTACTACTACTACTACTACTACTACTACTACTACTACTACTACTACTACTACTACTACTACTACTACTACTACTACTACTACTACTACTACTACTACTACTACTACTACTACTACTACTACTACTACTACTACTACTACTACTACTACTACTACTACTACTACTACTACTACTACTACTACTACTACTACTACTACTACTACTACTACTACTACTACTACTACTACTACTACTACTACTACTACTACTACTACTACTACTACTACTACTACTACTACTACTACTACTACTACTACTACTACTACTACTACTACTACTACTACTACTACTACTACTACTACTACTACTACTACTACTACTACTACTACTACTACTACTACTACTACTACTACTACTACTACTACTACTACTACTACTACTACTACTACTACTACTACTACTACTACTACTACTACTACTACTACTACTACTACTACTACTACTACTACTACTACTACTACTACTACTACTACTACTACTACTACTACTACTACTACTACTACTACTACTACTACTACTACTACTACTACTACTACTACTACTACTACTACTACTACTACTACTACTACTACTACTACTACTACTACTACTACTACTACTACTACTACTACTACTACTACTACTACTACTACTACTACTACTACTACTACTACTACTACTACTACTACTACTACTACTACTACTACTACTACTACTACTACTACTACTACTACTACTACTACTACTACTACTACTACTACTACTACTACTACTACTACTACTACTACTACTACTACTACTACTACTACTACTACTACTACTACTACTACTACTACTACTACTACTACTACTACTACTACTACTACTACTACTACTACTACTACTACTACTACTACTACTACTACTACTACTACTACTACTACTACTACTACTACTACTACTACTACTACTACTACTACTACTACTACTACTACTACTACTACTACTACTACTACTACTACTACTACTACTACTACTACTACTACTACTACTACTACTACTACTACTACTACTACTACTACTACTACTACTACTACTACTACTACTACTGCTACTACTACAAAGTGTAGCTGTCGTGGAATGTGGTTGGCGAACTGGTTGTGCTGGTGTATGCAAGTGCCGTCTCGTCTCGTCTGGTCACATGAAAAAAATCTACCACTTCTTGAATTGTTGGACCAAATGAAGAACGTATCGACAAATTATTAGCACTTTGGTTTGATGGGGAGGTAATTTGGTGGTTGAAGAAAACATATTTTCATACGCACGAGAACAGTAACAATGTACAGTGTGTAAGCAACCTGAGGTGAGATGGGTGAGGGGGGGGGGGGGGGGGCTTACCCTGGCAGCTTTGCGGTTGTTACTTTAAATCCAGATACATTGTGCGTACTTCATGTGGATGTTGATTGTTTCGTGTTGATAGCTGTGCGGTATATACATGGTGACTCCTCCACCAAAGTTGTCTCTGTCTGCTCTTACGAGCTTGTGGCCATCAATGGCGTACATTCCCTCACTATCTGCTGGGTCAACCCAGGTTTCCTGTATAGCGATGAGTCAGGGATGTTCGGACTCTGCCACATGATGTAGCTCGTCCATCTTACTGAACAAACACCTGACGTTCGAGCTAATGAAATTTAACTTCACGACTTCCATTTTTTTTAAATTCCGGTTTGTTTCTGTTTTTTCCGTATTTGAGGTTATTGTTCTCACTGATATTGCGGAGAACAATCGTAAGCTAGGATTGGACTTCCTGTGACACCAGTGGGCTGAAGCATGAGCCCTGTGCTGGGGTATGGGATTGGCTGTGGGCAGAGTCGATGTTGTTGCTCTCTTTCTTATTTCTTCGAGTCTTTGAAATCCGGCAAGGATTCCACCGGTAGGACTGGTTCTCCTGCTCCAGGTATAATTCACTGTTCGTCACGTCGGTAGAGCGGGGTGGGTTGTTCTGAGCACAAAGTTGGGCGCCAATGTTATCTCTTCTCCTGCGTCGTTTGGCGGTAATCCATGGGTTTGCTGGCTCAGATCTCGCTGTAGTAGTAGCAACCACTGAGAAGAAGAGTTTTTTCCAGCATCGGCCGAATATAGATGGTTGCATGTTGTGGTGGGAGTAGTTGGTGTCTGTGTGAGGTGAGTCGATCGTTGTCGTACCTGTACCTGTGCTGCCTGGCGGGGTTCCGGGGTGCGCGGTCGTGCTGGTTGCTGACATGGGCGATGCAATGTCGTGTTCGTATTGATCGTTGACTGGGTCGCTTGGGTGCGAGCTGGGGTGTAGGTCTGCTTTCGGCGTGGTGTCGGCACTGCCGGAGGCCGTTTCGGATACGGCGCTGGCGTGGTTCAAGCTCTGGGCCGCTTTCGGCGGGGAATCGGTACAGTGAGAGTCAGCTCTGCTGTTCCGCTCTGTGCTGCTGCTTTCTCCGGCATGCGTGGCCGTGGGTGCACTGCGACGTTTTTTGGCAAGTACGCAGGATGTGTGACCTGTCTGGCCACATAGCCTGCACATACCTGCCTGGCCAGCGTACATAACGCGAAGCTCATGCGAACCTTCTGTCGTACGCAAGTAGGACGGGATCGAGCTGCCGGTGCGGAAATCTGCCTTGGCCATCAGCCGCTCCAGTAATGTGTGTACATTCTCGGGCATGTGCTGCTAGGCCCGCCAACGGTTGTCATTAGTCAGCAACACTGAGCTTAGTTTCTGCTGCATCTGTAGGCAGAACAATCCGTAACCAAGCTCGCTCTGGTTTTAGTTCAAACGTGGCGCAGCCTACTCCGGTTGCTGTGTGGGTGTTGTTTGAATTTTTGATTTTTTCATCTCGTATTTCACTGATTGGCTTTCCGTACGGTGAGAGAGCTGCTTTGAGCACACCATCTGACATCCAGATCAGGGCATCATGGATGTGTTGCTGTGTTGATGGTGCAGAAACGCAATGGACTTCGTAGTGGATTGGCTACAGAACGTTACCTTGCAGGCTGATCCGGTAATTTGAACGGAGGCGACGTCAGCATAACCCTGGTCGATGAGGGTGTCCGCAATTTCCACGATTTTCTGGCCTGCGAGGCCGTCGACAAATATGACAGTATTTGCCTTCAATTCAGCCGGCGACATCGACCTCCACAGTGGCTCTGGAGGCTCAGGCTTTGAGCTGTCTGGCGGTGGGGAGTCATCCATGATAGGCAGGTAAATACTAGTCAGAATAGCAGTGCATATGCTTCTAGGGTGGGGACGTAGTCACGACACTCAGAGCTTCAAAACTTGCTTCTTACTCCTGGCGAGCGTTTTGAATGTTTGAATTCTTTTATTCTCACGATGGCCTGTGGCCAATAAGAGAAAAATAATTACAGGCACGGGGATCAGATACAGAGAGATCAAAGTTTAGCTGCTTGCTGAGGCAGTAGCGATGGCAATACTAATTGGGAGTTAATCACAATGTTGTTGTTGTTGTTGTTGTTGTTGTTGTTGTTGTTGTTGTTGTTGTTGTTGTTGTTGTTGTTGTTGTTGTTGTTGTTGTCGGTGTCGTTGTCGTCGTCGTCGTTGTTGTTGTTGTTGTTGTTTCAAATCTTTTTGTTCTTGTTGTTGTCTGTTCTAGAGAAGGCATGCTGGAGAGGATGCAGCGACTCAAGGACTGTGATGGTTTGCCTAGGTAATAGCGCTTCTGTGTGTGTATGTGTACATGCATACGTGTGTGCGTGTGTGTGTGTGTGTGTGTGTGTCAGTGTCTGTGTGTGTATGGGCACGTGTGCGTAGCACGTGTGCATGTGTCACATACACCAAGCACTCATTCAGAGTAGAGCACATCTTGTTGCTGTAGTGTGTGTGTGTGTGTGTGTGTGTGTGTGTGTGTGTTTGTGTGCGTGTGTGCGTGTGTGTGCATGCGTGTGTGTGTGTGTGTGTGTGTGTGTGTCCACGTGTGTGTCTGTACGTTGTCTCATCTTTATCCCACTTCATACCTTGATTCCTGGCTACTGTTGCTACTTGTTGTGTTGTTGTGCGCTGACGTCTCCGCTCGAAGAATCCGCCCGTCCACCCCCATGGACTTCTTCAGCAAGCTGGAGTCGACGTCAGCGTCATCGTTGTGTACTTGGGTCGGCGAAATGTACCTGGAGCTGCACAATGCTACCTACACTACGCAGGCTGAGGTAAGAAGCGGCCACGCTTTAAGGATGTTATCTTGAGTATTTTTGCAAAACCTGTGTGGCTGAACCTTGCGGGAACTTCACCCCCCTGCACGCGCCCGCCCAATGCGTGTGGCGTACATCTTAAAATCTCTCTATTAGGCGAGACCAAAATAAAATCGAGATTCCCGGGCAGGACCCATCTGAAATTGGTGCGGGCGGGCGAATTTTTATTTTTTATTTTTTTCCTATGTGTGTATGCATGGCATGCTGAACTTTTTTTACAGTACTTTCCGGTATTTATTTTTAATTTGTTTACAGACGACAGGTACATGGTACGTGGTTTACCGGTACCCGTATAATTTCTTTTGTATTTCGGCCAACGACAGCCCTGAGTCGTACACCAGGGAGTCGTACAAGCCCAGATTTGTGTGACACCATGTCACAGATCTACTCGCACGATCAGTACTGTACATAATACGAACTGTTAAAAAAAAGATTGCCTTCGGCTCGATTTTGGTGCGGGAGGGCCCGGGAATCTCAATTTTTTTGGTCTCGCCTTATTGCGATATGGTTATGTGTATGTTTATGTGTGCATGTACATATAATAATTATTATGTGTATGCTTATATGTATGTGTCTCCCATATTCATGTTTTTCTCGCAATACCGGTGTGCCAGATCAAGAAGGCGAACCGTGTAGGCGAGTTCCTGCTGCGAGATGCCGAGACAGTGTCCGCATTCGCCAGTTTGCTCAAACTTGCAGGTAAGAAGCCACTTGGTACTGTTAGGTTGTTTGCACAGGGAGGCTGGGTAGTCTTCAGTCAATCCTCGGTAGTATAGTGGTAAGTATCTCCGCCTGTCACGCGGAAGACCCGGGTTCGATTCCCGGCCGGGGAGGACATTTCTTTTTTTCCTGCGATGTTTACGTCTTTCCCAATATTCTTTTTTGTTTCCTGTACCGGTATGCGTGATTGCACATGTCCTCATGTATACCCATGCATGTTTGGTCCAGTGTGCAAGTGCAGGAGTATCGCTCAACGACTGATTTAGGGGTCGCCGCAGAAGTTTTTGCCGTCCCTAAAACGAACCTCGTTTATTTGGTGGGGGGTGAACGAAAATTGGAAGTCGACCAACAAAAACAGGTACGTGTTCGTTGCAGGGCCGACAACAAGCTTTTGCGACGACCCCCTTTACATAACTCCCCAGAGCGTGCAGATAGCAATGAGTAACCATGAAGAGTACATAAACCAGAGTGTGCAGCTCAGGGAGAATCATCCCACGACGATGTTTTTTTGTTGTTTTAATAGGTCTTTAATAGTGAATCGTGACCACCTGATTTGTGTTCCTTTTCTGTATTTTTTGTGCGATGCTCTTGTTTTGTTCTCTACATTCAGACTACCCGCACACGGAGCTGCTCCGCATTTGGAAGCTGTTCTTGCTGAACCAGTTTCATGACATTCTTCCGGGGACTTCCATCGAGGCGGTGAGTTCAGCTATTGGCCTGCTGCTGTATGCGCCGGAGTTATTTTCATGCTGTTTTCCGTGGCTCTCCGCGGACTGCACGAGCCGCAGAGGATGAGAATTGATGGGAAAACATCGGAAGAAATATTTTCAGCAGGGCTACCACCCCCTCCGTTAGGCGCTGCATCTGCCGCTAGGGGTTACCGGGTGTTTGCGGCCGTAGTGAGTTCCCTTCGGGAACGGACAGTCCGACGCGATAATACCACCTGGAGGGGGGGGGGGGGGGATGGCTTATCAAGTCAGCGCATACACTACTGTTATGCTATGCAACTGTCTTGGTGCGAGGAGGCACAGGAGTAACGATGAATCCGAGACCTTTGGTCGGAGGAGTTACTTTTGCCCCGCCCCACTTCCTTCCAATATGCCACCGCCCCCGCTGTGCAGCATCAGATGGTTCTGTGGTATTCAGTAAAAAAAATTAATAAAAAATTAAAAAAGCCTGCAATGCACACTGGTCATTGCATGAGGAATTGTGCGCCCTTGTCGACTGTGTCTTGTCATGTGTGTGTGTGTGTTCGCGCGCGCATGCGTGCGTGCGTGTGTGTGTGGGTATGGTATGCGTGCGTATATGCACCCACGTGCGCGCTCTGTGTGTGTGCATCATTGCAGGCTCACGATCTCGCCAAAGACTACTACAAAGGTAATACTGTTGGTGTGTGTGTGGGGGGGGGGGGGGGGCAACATCCTTAGTATAATGTGCAATACGAGTGTATTCAACAATCATCACAGGTATCGTATCACAGTTCATACCTGGTGAATTCTTAGTGCCTTGCAGTCATGTGGGAAACGTTACGAACACTCTATGCTGCTACACATACGATTGTCTCCAGACAGGTGGGGTTTTCCTGGGGATATTCCTATGTTGAAACAGGTTCAGTAAGTTATGAGAGTATGTCGTGAGTGAACTGACTCGTTGATGCATTCCCAGTTAGGCCCTCCCGCTACTGGAATTCTGCACCCTTGGTCACATCCACAATGGACTCGTGTGAGTCACTCGTCAACCAGCACACGTGCATGTGCATCATGAGTCGTGGTGCACATGCACGCTTGTGCTGTTAACCTTTATTTCAATTTGAGCCGCGACACAACAAAAGGGTGCTTATGGCACGCGACATCAAACTGAGAAAACTCGTTTGAAAGTTGAGTATGCGAGATTGAGAGTCCACATTTTCTTTTTGAATTCGATTAGTTTTCGTTGCGATTTATCAAGCTTTTTGAATGCGTTTTTTGCAACAGAAGTAGTGAGGATTCAGCCATTGCGCTGTATCCATAACTCAATTTTTTGCTATGCACCCTTTTGCCATGGTGCAGCTCATTTACGACCTTTCAATTCCTCTTGCGTGGGCGGTGGATGGATCTTGACTCCACTACTGTCTGTGAGGGATGTAGCGGGCTCAATGGCCAAGTGGTAAGGCGTCGGTCTTGTAAACCGAAGATCGAGGGTTCGAACCCCTCTTGAGCCTGTCTTTTTTTCTCCCCTTCCATTTTTTTCAAAGGAGCCATCTCGTTTCCACGAAACTATAAAATTCCGTTGGCGATAATGATGAAGTGCACTATACTGTAGAGGCAGAACATTTCGTCGGTCAATAGTTCCGTCCAACTCCAAAGAAAAGGAGTTCGTCTGGTTGAAATTTCGTCCATGGATCATAAGAGTGTATTGAAAAGCTGGACAAATCGACATTAGTCCGGCATTTTATTTACCGTAAAGTCGCGGATAAAAGCCGGGTTTGCATTCAAGCACATCGCGGATAGAAGCCTGAAAATCAAACGGGTCAAATGCATGCAAGCCTGTCGCGCGTAGAAGCCTGGCTTCTATGCAAGAGCGGATCGGGCAGGTCAAGAGTGCATGCGCTATGTACGGTGCATAGTAAAACTGCCGCCATGCCGGTAGTCAGTGGTAGATCTACGCGTGCCGATGTGCATACAAGCCTGGCAAAAAAATCAGTGGTGCACCCCACCGTTAGGCGGTGCATCTGCCGCTAGGGTTTATCGGGTGTTAGCGGCCGTCGTGAGTTCCCTTCGGGGACAGACACGATAATTTACTTTTTTTATTTTTTTTAAGCATGGTTTGCATACAAGCCTGGTTTGCATTAAGGGGGCTCAGTACTTCTGCGCGCGCATCGAAATCGGGGCACTATTTTACGAAAAATTTCGCGTTTGAAAACCTGGCCGCGCGGCGCGCGCGTGGCATGACACGGCTGTTACGCATGCATTGAATGCGGCCAGAATCCTCTGGGCACGAGGCCGCAGGTGACCTGCTGAGAATGCGTTGAGGACCTCTTGACATGTTTGAAATTTGTCCTTGACAGCCTCATTGTTTTAGGGAAGTATCTCACGAGTTGCCGTCGTGTTAGGGGCCCCGAGTATTGTTTCAGGCCGATTACTACGAAGATTTTGGTGTTTTACACTCACGTGCAGCTTGTTCTCTCAAAAGAAATTGTCGAAGTCGAAATAGTTGTCCGTGCCGGATCGTTCTTCTTCTTCTTGTGCTTCACTGTGTGGATGTCATCGATGGTCTCCAGCAACTTCTGGCAGCTATTAGTGTGGGTGCCTCGTTTTTGTAAACTTCAGTTCTTGTTGGAGTACGAAGGTAAGGTCTTTATGTTGTGTGAGGAGTCGTCCTCGTAGCTTTACGCTCCTTTACGATTGTTTTTTCAGGCCAGTTTGTAATTGCCTGTCTAAAAATATAAAATACCAAAAACAATCTTATGGATAGGCATAGGGAGCTACTTCGCCAGATGTGCCGTGTTAGTGGTTGTAAGTTTAGTAATATAGCGAAGAAAGGCGTCTCTAAGAAATATGCTGTGTCGGATCATATTACTGAGTTAGAATCTTGTTTTCCAACTATTAAAAAAGACCAAAAAAATGCTGATGTATATCCTGAATTATTTTGTGCGTCATGCATGGCAGTTGTACGACGGTATAAGAATGCTCAGGAGAATAAAGAGAGGTATGCAAGGATTAGTGGGGGGGGGGGGGGGTGTGTGGGGGGGGGGCAATGAAACTGTGGGAGGCACAGGATAGTAACTGTAGTGTTTGTGGGTCGGGTGTGATTGGACGACCGCCCAAACTTGCAAAATGTGAGGTGCCGTTTGCAAAGCCATCACCCATCCCCATCAGCACCACCCTGACTCCTGTTGACAATGTCACCGAAAAAGCGACTGGTAGCTTGAAAACTGGTGCTGACCTTGTCCCAAGTCGCTTTCGTGAGCAGCATGAACAATAATTGTTTATTAATGTGTGGCATTTGTTCGTTGTTTGTAGACGCTGCTCTGGAAACACCATGCTGCAAACATTTGTTTTGTGCGAAGTGCATTTCATGTTGGCTGGAGCAAAGCACGAAATGAAGATGCACTTTGTCTAGATAATTTAGTGTCACCACATACTATTGTGGCTGACATCATCAAGCAGTCAGTCTTGAAGTGCGATTTCTACGAGGCGCCGCTAACAGGCTGCCCAGTGCAGGTGAGGCTTTGCGACCTAAAGAGCCACGTTGAGAATTGTTCTCACAACCCAAGCACCCCCCCCCCCCCCCATCCACTCCTATTCAGAGAGTAGTGTCTGAATCCTCCACCATTGGTGATGTTCTAGCCGCTTCCCTGGGAAAGTGTTTGATGCCCTGACTAAACGTGTTGTCGAGAGCAGTGCAGAGGGTGACAGACTTGAGAGTTGAGGCCCGTGGAGGTGGTGGCTCTCCTGCTGTTTGGACCAGCACCCCGGTTACAAGGGTGTCTTCCACCAATTGCAGTGGTCGTACTGCACGGAGACGGTCATCCATGACGTCCTCCTTTACACATTGCAGGAAAAAGTGTTAAGTGATCTCTGTTCTGCACCCGCACATGTCATCTCCAAGAGAGCAGAGGCTAGTGCAGAAGGTGCGAGTGCAGGACAGAGAGATCAAATGATGTGTTTAGTGCAAGCTGCTACTGTTGTTAAGGACCGCTATGTTTCATTATTTTCTAAATTTGCAGCTTGTCATGTAGGATTATCCACCAGTGTAAGTCCGAATGTTAACTCGCTCTCACAACTGCGTGCCAATATTTCTGTTTTTCTTGCAGCTTGCCGCAGGAAGTTGTCTCGCGTGGTCGTGGCAACGTCACACCAAAGCTTCACCTTCTTGAGGCCCATGCAGTCAGCTGCTTGGAAAATTTACAAATGGGCATGGGGCTACTGAATGAGCAGGGGGCAGAGTCCATCCATGCTGCCTTCAATCAGCTGGAGCGAAATCATTCCTCCATACGAAACACGGCTAACCGGCTGTATGCATGTGCACAAGCACACATCTTGAATGCGCTGCCACAGCACACTCTGCTTCTGCCACGGACGCAGAGACGCAAGCGTAGCAGAGAGCCCTGAACATAGCACTAGTACATTCCGACGACCACGTGTGTTGTGCGTTATTTTGTGTGCGTCGTGTGTACGTGGTGTTGGTGCATGCGCGTGTTGCGGTGGTGTGAAAAGCAGTCTTCGTTATTACAAGACGACTACGGAAAAACAACTGGACATGACGAACTCAAGACGAAGACTGCTTTTCACACCACAGCAACCTGGCAACACACGCATGCACCAACACAACGTAAACACGACGTACACACAATAACGTACTACAACACATATACACGTACTACTACTTCTACTATTGTAGCTTATTTCCAGCCTGAGGTTGTTGGTGCACAGCAAAATTCCATCCTCTGTGCTGTGCCAGAGCTTCAGTTTGTATCACTGTGGAAGCGTGTGAGTGGCGGGTTTCCTCAGGCTGGCAATTCGCTGCATCACTGCAATATGCTTCTACTGTTAGTGTTATAGCTCCAAGCAGTGACTACAGGTACCGGGTATTAAAGCTCGAGGAGGGCAGGTAATAATCACAATGGTCATGCTTCGTACGATTGGTCGTTCCGAGATCCTGGGCTGACCCCATGTGTTGATTCCATAGAACCAGCGCTGCCAGTGTCCCTCAACTAAACTGGCAGTCCGTTCAAAGTTTAGACAGATGAAGCACTACACCATCTACTTTTATTTCTGTTCAAAATATCCAAGAAATCACAAAGTACAATTCCATGAACGAGATGCTTCGAAGACGAAAACAAATCCAATGACAATGTTCAATGCTCCTTTCCAAAAAAAAGAAAAAAAATCGTAGACCTAGATTCGAGTCCACGATCAAAGCGGCTTCATTTTGCTCGCGTGACTCCAGCGGCCATCTTGGATTCTGGCCGCGTCGTAACAGCCGTGATGAGAAAGTTTTTTTGAGAGAAATAGTCGTGTTCAAGAGTTTTTTTGCGAAAATTCAAAAAACATTGCATCCGTGAACAGTTTGAGCTTGACGTTTGTTATTTTCAATTTTGGTTTGCTGGATGTCCGCGATGGAGCTTCGTGTCAAGTAGTTATCGTCATGGGCCGTTTTCGTGGGCGATTTGCCAGCAAAGCCAATGCTTCCAGGCTCAGCAAGCTTCAGAAGAGGTTGTCCAAAACAACGCCCGTTCAGTCTTCTTCAGGCGCGTGTAGTTCTAGCTCAGACAAGTCCTGTTCTCAGTCTCAGGCTGCCACTGAGTGCAGCGAAGCCAGCAAGCTATGCAAGATCGTCCAGAGCCCAGCTACCACTGGCACTGATACATGCACCAGTCCCAGAGCGCAGGTAAGTGACATGGTGCTCTCAAGTTCAAGTGGGTCCACTTGAGTGGCACTTGGAACGATTTCTATTTTTTTCTTTCCCAGTCGCCAGAGAAAAATGTTACTGACGACTGTGAGAGAAAAACTGGCCCTGTACCTGGCCGGCGGATAGTGGAGTTGGAGCTGATCATGGATCGTCTGCGTGCTGGGTGTAGTTCCTGCACGTCCAGACTTGATCTCTGCGAGTGTGCGAGAGAACAGCGACAGGGACTTGCCAGTATTCTGTTCGTGAAGTGCTCTACGTGTGGGCAGGAGAATTTGGTCCAGACATCGAAGTCTCATGCTGGATTGAGTGGAAAGCGTCGATCCTATGCTGTGAACTCTAAGGCTGCTCTGGGTGAGTTCGGACATGTGCTTGTTTTTTTGCTCATGAGAAGGCTAGGGGTTCAAAGTAGGATGACTGTACTCATATCAATGAACCATGTCAGGGATCTGTGTATGAAAATAAAATTTACATAATTATTGGCAATATGCCCTGCAGTAGAACTTGAACAGAGACAGTCAAGGACACAGTTATGCATTGTCACATTTGCATGAGCACGCTTGAGGCTTGATCTTCACAGTAAATGCAGCCAATACAATTGTGTTATTGTGATGAACTGCAATGATCGCCCAGGCGAGGCAATGCAACAAATGTCTACTGAAAATATGAATCACAGAGGTATGCACGACAATAGCGCCAGGCAGGGTTCTGTTACCTTACTACTCACATTCGGAAATATCTAGTGATTGATCTCACTATGTGAATATATGTTGTCTCGCTTTGTTGTCAATGGTTGCAGCAATGGATCATGCTGGCATCGGTGTGACTCACGTAAATAATTTCTTGACCACGTTGAACATACCTCCGGTCAATGAGAAAGTGCTGCGACGGCAGGAGCGTGCCATTGGCACTGTTGTTGAACGCGTGGCAAAAGAGAGCTGTGATGAGGCTTGTGCTGAGGAAGTCAAGCGTACGTCTAGCGGTGGTATTGGCTTCGGTTTCGATTGCGGCTGGCAAAAACGAGGCCGTGCTATGAACAGCTTGACTGGAGTTGGCCATGCCATTGGAGTGGAGACTGGCAGAGTAAGGCCAGCTTTTTATGTTGTGTGGATGTTCCATGATCTCGTTCTGTTCCATAGTTCTATATTGATGACAGATGTGGTGCGTCGTCAAAGTGTCAGAAGTATAAAACAATACTATAAATACTGGGTATTCAAGTAAGTGGTCTTGTGTGTTCTATTTTGTTATCTCAGGTTATTGCCTATTCCATGCTGTCAAAGCGCTGTGCAACTTGCGATGCTGCCGATCGTCTCAAACGCCCAGCAGCAAAGCATGACTGCCGCAAGAATCATGTCAACAAGTCTTCCAAAGCCATGGAACCAGAATCCATTGGGAACATTGGCAAGCAACTGAAATCTGCTGGGGTGACAGTTTCTGTCATGGTGGGTGACGATGACTCCTCAGCCTTGAAGCGCCTGCAGGAAGAGATTGGGCCGGTTGAAAAGAGCTCCGATCTCAACCACGTCAAGAAAAACCTCGGAAACAGGTTGTATGATCTCAAGAAGAACGGCCACAAGGAACTGTCCGAGAAAGTCATTCGGTATGTGCAAAAGTGTTTCGCGTACGCTATAGCACAAAACCGAAATGATCCAGCCGCGTTGAAGGCCGTTCTCCTTGCGTGCGTGCCACACATGTATGGGGATCATTCTGACTGCGGCTCATGGTGTGGATATGATGGCAACGAGGAGACGTACCGCCATCGCAGCCTTCCCCGTGGGAAGAACCTGTCCTCGCCAACCACGAGAGCAGCATTACAGAAGTTGTTCAGCCTCTATGCGGAGTGTTCGACCAAGCTGGCATCGCACGGCAGTACACAGGCAAACGAAAGCCTAAACAACATCATCGCCAGCAAGCAGCCGAAATCAAGGAGCTATGGCAGCTCTCCATCCTTCAATATTCGTGTCGGCGCTGCAATTGCCCAGAAAAACCTGGGATACACGTATGTGTCAAAGGTAATTGAGATTTCCATACTGTCTGTATTATTATGCTGTCTGCACTGGATTACTCTATCTCCTCTCCCTGCCTTCTTAGACATGCGCTTCTTCTAATCTCCTTGTGTTGACTGATGATTGGTTTTACCATGAAACTCTGAGTAACAACGAAACAGTCCTATTTTGCTGCCATTTGTTTACCTCTTGTGTGTCCAAGGTCATGGAGCAGGCCGGCATGTCCCCGAGCTCACATGCGCAGGCGCACGGGGCCAAGCTCGATACCCGGCGAGCAAAGGCTACACTTCGCAAGTCGGGTAAGACCGTAAAGAGGCGAAGACTGGAGCTGAAGGAGCTGCGCAGTCAGAAGGGTGCCTCACAGGAATTGAGGGAAGGTACGTCGTACCAATCCGAGTCCTCCCTTCTTGCAGAGCCAGACGTGGATGAAATCGCTGGTCCAGTCACTCCTGCCAAGCTGTCACCAGAAGAGAAGTACACTTTTGTGTACTTTGACCTGGAAACAACGGGCTTCGGAGACGATGCAGAAATCATCCAGCTTGCAGCTTCCGTTCCAACTGTTTGCAAGTAAGGAACAGCGTGGTGCTCTGAAATGGTTATTGAAGTGGTTATTCTGCTGATGTAGGCATGGGGTCAGTCGTTCATTCAGCATCAGAACTGGCATATTTCTGTGATGGATAATGAGATTGTTGGAATCTGATCTGAACTGTAGTGATGAACGTATTTTTGGTCTTTTCTGTGATAGGTTCTCCGAGTATGTATTGCCAGAAGGGTCGATGTCCTCTGGAGCATCAGATGTCACAGGTGTGTCCGTCTCTACTGTGGGTGGCAAGCGTGTGTTGGTGAAGGCTGGCGAAGTTCTGCCAACTCTTTCGCTACCTGATGCCATTGAGCGTTTCATCCCGTGGCTACAGTCCATTGGTGGTTCGAAACCGCCCGTACTTATCGCACACAACTGTATGTCGTTTGATATGCGTGTGTTGCTGGGTGAGGTGAAGCGTGCTGGGCAGTCGTACGTACAGCAGCTTGTTGCAGCAATTGCTGGCTTTGCTGATTCTCTGCTAGCCTTGAAGCAGGTCCTCCCTGGAAGGAAGTCGTACAAGCAAGAGGATCTGGTAAAGGACATCCTGAAGGAGGACTATGCTGCCCACAGTGCGGATGCAGATGTCGACGTTCTCGGGAAATTGGTGCGAAAGACAATCCCGGATAGCGTTATTCTTGAGCACAGCATACAAGTCGGGTCGGCATTGTCTGTGCTTGCTGTCCGCGAAGCCAGTAAAGGTATGTTACCTATGTGTATCCAGTGCTTACAATCATTTTTCTGAGACACGCAGCAAGGCAACGATGTATTCCTTCACTAGGTACATACATGAACATGTAGTCTTGTTCGTGAAATATTCCTCAACTTCAACTAATGATAATGTATGATATCACGGTCCATGCTAGCATTATTTTAGCCAAGCTGGCTGTGTGTGCCTTGATTGTGTACAGGTGTATATGCTGAGCTCCGCTCACGGTTTCCCAAACCTGCACTTTCAGATCACATGGCAAAGAAAATAGCCAATTCCGGTATCAGGTATGTGCAGAAAGAAACTAAGCATAATTATGATAATAATAATAATAACTTTATTAGGATGACCCGAGGGGTTCACCTCATTGCACGGTTGTGGTATGACAAAGCAAAGAGGCAACCATTGTGTGTGTGGGGGAGGGGGGAGGGGGAGAGTGGAGTTTCGAACTATGCACAGTGAAGGGATAATTGTATGTACATGAACAAGGATAGGGTGTGGTTGATGATGTTCATTTCTAATATGCATCCTCATGAAGCTGTGACAACTAGGTAGCTAAAATCTTCCATGGATTGATTCATGTGGAAACTATTCGTGTCACACTCCAGTGCCTTTGATAACGGGTCCATTTCTTGTACCTGGTACAATCGAGCTGCGGTGAGCGTTTGCTGCGACATGAGTGTTTGCAGCCGACTTTACGGTACATATTCTTTATACGTCTTGCCTACAGGTACAGTCATCTGGTGCTGGCATTCGACAGGAATCGTGGAACTGGCATCCAGACTTTACTGCAGGAAAGGGATGGCAATGGGCGTGTGCGAGTCACAAAGAGTTCTGCTATCGCGAAACGAATAGCAGACCATCTAGGGTCTGAAAGACCCATCACCAGCAACACTGCCTCACAGGCCACTCCAGACCATGCCAGTGGTTCAGCAGCAGCTGCAGGAGCTGCTGCCTTGCCCCCAGTGCCAGCAACTACCAGTCGTGCCATGCCACAGCTATCTGCCCAGACACTGGCGTTGTACCGGCGGAGGCGCGATAATGGGTACGATCTGCCCGACCCACAGTACCAGCAGTGGCTGCAAGCGGTCTCATCCAGCAATGACCAAGCAACGCAAGCTGCGCATTGACTGCATCATAGACCATTGTGTTGTACATTCAATCGGCTATACACATATGTACATATTCACAATATACGAGCAAATATGTGAATAACACAATTCAGTGGTGACTGTGGCGTGTGGTATTGTCTGGGATTGGTCTATAGCAAATGCTTCTCGCCCTACATAGTCAAAGTGAAGCTTGAATGAAGTCGATAAACTCATTTTGGCAACAATGCTGAATCTGACTTTCAAGTTGAATATGCACAATCCGTCACAAATTTTGTTTCTCATTGACAAACGAGATGGTAGACATAAAAATCTATTTTTGTAGAGCCTTCCTATGGCCTTGAAGAGCAGATAATGACCATAAAATGGACAATGTTATTGTCTCGATTCTCCAGTACTCAAACAAGTCTAAAGTCCGGTCTGCTGAAATACGCGTTTTTCCAAATCACATTCTGGGCTACCTTGGCCTCTCACAGTGGTCTGGTCATATGTTGTGGACATTTTCCAAAGGAGACAGTATTGTAGGCCCATCCATACCCACTTTCAGGATTTTTGAAGCATTACCAGCTGGAATTTTACGCCTTTAGTGAAAAATCATTGAATTTTTGCCAAAAAACATAGGTACAATAACACCCCCATAGCTGGGGAACCACATAATAGACCTATCCTTGAAATAGCCTAGACCAGTTCTCTAGGTGTCTGGCCATCTGAAAACACACAGTTCAGATCGATTTACCATAATTTTTTTTGCTCCCTCTTCGGGGTTGAGCCCCCTTAAAGCCGGATGCAGAAAGCGGCTTATATGCTTATAAGCCCGGCTTTTATCCGCGGCTTTACGGTAGTCCAAAAGCTCCTTGGACGAAAAAGACGAAATTAAATTCCAGACGAATATTTCTGCTCAGCAGTCCGTAATCATCAACTCCGGCCACGATGATCTTTGGTAAACGTTGGCGCTTCTCCCCCGCCACTAACACTAGGGTTGAAACCCTGCAAAGATAGTCTGCTACTTCCAGCTGGGTGAGATCCACGCGATCCAGATGAAGAAGGAATGGACGTAAATCATAGACGGTACCTTCATCGGTGAGCAATCGCATGGTAAACTCATCTTGGGTACAAGAAAACACTGAAGTTGACCAAGACATATTTTCAGAGGACTTCTTCTTCTTCTTCTTCTTCTTCTTCTTCGAGAGAGAGAGAGAGAGAGAGAGAGAGAGAGAGAGAGAGAGTGATAGCAATTGTGAGGCATTTGACGAGTTACTGAACCATTTCTAGACGACTGATTGCCTGAACGAATCACTGAACCAGTCAAGACTGTGTCAAAAAAAGGAAATGACTGTGATCAATATTGACATGTGCTAACCATAAAGGTCATCCGCCGGCTCAATGGCCAAGTGGTAAGGCGTCGGTCTTGTAAACCGAAGATCGAGGGTTCGAACCCCTCTTGAGCCTCTTTTTTTCTTTTTTCTTTCCCTTGCACTATGTAGAGAAAGCGTACATCCCAAGGCAAAGTTGATCTGTCAAATGATCCCATGTGCATCTTTTGTCGGATTTTTCCTGTCTTTTTTCGTCTGTGTAATTGTATTTCTCCTGGCTTGCTTTTACAGTCAACAGGGAACGTGTGGCCAGGCACAAGGGTACATGAATGCGGCTAATGGGGTTTTCAGCACTCGTGCCAGTGTTTGTGAGACTGGCTCTCCCGTCCCCGCCGTGTTAGGAGCTGAATTTGCCGCTGGGTTTTTCCCGCTGGGTTTTGCCGCTGGGTTTTTGCCGCCGGGGTTGTGCCGCTGGGTTATTCCTGGTGCGGATAGGGAGACCACCTGGTAACAGAGACCACGTTTGTAAGGTCCTTTGAGCGGTCTCTTTAGACAGGTTTCACTCTGTGTGTGTGTGTGTGTGTGTGCGTGCGTGCGTGCGTGCGTGTGTGTGTATACTTCAAGTGAAGTATACATACCTGTTAGCCATGGACTGCTTCTGGCTAGATTAACTCTTGTGTAATCAATGATGCTAGTGACGCTTAGATCAGATCCACTCTGATTTAGCCACCCACACTAGTAGCAAGTATTACCTTCACTGGGGGCAGGGGTAACTGCAGTTGGATCCCAGGACGGATACCCTGATGCCGTCAATCCTTTTTCTGCACCTTGTCCTCACCCACTTACTGAGGTGTGGTGAGCCCATAAGTGGGATCATTTTCAAGTCCACCCAGAGTTTTGGGGATTTCAGGGGGTGTCGGCCGTTGGGCGGTTCAATAGCCAGTTGAGTCATCTTTCCAAGATTCCTTTTGAGTCTCTCTCCCCTCTGCCGTGGAGACCCACGTGACCAGTTTTGGCAGTGAGCGACAAGTACAAGTACAAGTGTGTGTGTGTGTACATTGGTATCTGTCTTGTTTGCTTTGTGTCCTTATAGACGTTCACAAATCCGCCAAGCAAATGTTTGTAACAGGATTGGATGCACTATTGACTGTGAGTTGGGCCTTTGCCCTCATTCATTTACGGGGTATTTACGTTTCAGAAGTAGGAGAACACCCTGTCTGGATTTACGGGGTGTTAGCTGCCATTTTAGCAGCCATAACTGCACCTTGACCCATAGAGGGTGGTGGTGTTCATACGGATGCGCATAACTTGGTCTCCAGCCAGGTCTAGCACGAACCGTGAAATTTGCTTTCAGCGGCCGTTGGGAGTTCTCTCGGGAACGGACACGGTACTGTAAAAGCCATATATATATATATAACGAAGTGCTAACTCTAACGAGTTAACGAGGGGAAATCTGTCGTTAAAATAGAAATCGTTATACAGAAATCGATACATATACTGTCATATTGAGCGTTGAGAATGAGTGAGAATCGTTACCTTTGGTACACGTAAACCAGTCAATTTTGGGAAATCATTATATATGCGCCTCGTTAGAATAATGGCTTTTACAGTAAGTTAGTTACTTTGTTTAGTAGCAGAACAGCACACAACAACACATACCGGTACTAGGATTGTCATGTTGTGAACATTAACGTGGGTTCTGGCTTATTTGTTAAAACCCTTGTAACATTTTTTCTTTTCTTCGAACCCCAGGCTATGGGTATTGATTTTGCCAAATTATGTCTTGTATTTTGTCCTTCAGAGAGTAAGTTTTCGGGCTCTTTCACCCCTCACGGTCTACCATTGTGTATGTGTGTCTGTCTGTGTGTCTGTCTGCGTGTCTGTCTGCGTGTCTGTCTGTGTGTCTGTCTGCGTGTCTGTCTGTGTGTCTGTCTGCGTGTCTGTCTGTCTGTCTGTCTGTCTGTGCGTGTGCATGGATGTGTACATGACACATGTTTGCATACTTGTTTACTTACGTGTTTGAGTGCATGTACATGTGCATGTGTGTACATGTGTTTGTATGTGTGTGCATGTGTGTGTATGTGTGTGCATGTGTGTGTATGTGTGTGCATGTGTGTGTGTCTGTGAATGTACGTGATACATCATTGCATGCCTGACCTGGGATCAAACTCGGCAGTCGTCCACCGGACAACCATCAACAGAAGCTGCTGCCGGTGCTGGCACCGACAGTTCCAGTGTGTTGACGGCTGCGCTAGTGAATCCATTCTCTTGGCAGAGGGAAGAAGTATGCAGTGTACCGGCCGGTGTGCAAGTACCTGACGGCTGCAGCGTACAGCGTAATGCTGGTGATGATGGCAGCGTTCTTGGTGAGTTGGCACAGCGGCACCCCTCTTTACAATACAGCTTTACTTTTATGTGACAGTCTACCTGAAGTTGTACGCCAGGTGAAGTTCGATAGTCGAAACTGAATCGATAGCTAACCTCACCCTGAGCTGGAGTCCAAACGAGTGTTGTTGCACGTAAAACAGAGCGTGCGTTTCGAAGTGGCTTTTGTCTTGCTAAATGGCACAGTTGATGACGGCACTGTACTTAGTGCATTTCAATAAATACAGTATACTAGTAATCAATCAGTAAAATCCAAAGAAACCGCTAGAAGCAGTATGCGTAGTAGTCTACGGCCAAGATACCAGAAACCGTATCAAACTCAGCACGGGGTTCGAGGTACTAAAACGATTACCAAATTAAGTCAAGGATTGACCATTACATGCTGCATTCTGCCACTGCTAATGTGATCGAAGGGCAGCCGTTGATTCTTGACGCTTTGTGCCGATGACCTCTCAGGGCTGTGACTGCGGCATTGACCAGTGCAAAAGACAGTTGAGTGCGGATGTATGCCATGACGATAGAGAAAGGCTCGGACCTCTTATCGGCCAACATGGATGCAATCCGAGCGTAGAGATTGCCAGCTGCCTTGCCATGACCACCTGTAGTGCTGAGCACGACCGGGATGAATGATCCATGCTCTACCTCAACGACTCTTCTCTCATAACTTCTTCTCTTTTCCTTTTCGTGCTTGCGGTACACTGCCGGGATTGATGACTTCTAGTTTGAGGGGGCAAATGGGTTGAAAACCCGGACATCAAGGAATGTCCTCTCAAACCGTCCACCATACAATCCACTGACTGCGATATCAAGGCGCGCGTTGTCGTCGGTGATGGTAGATCTCAAGGGGAAGTGTTCCCCCGAGAGAGGCTGGAGATGGGGTTCGACGGCTACATCATGGGCAACTTCCCGGAGAAGGTGGGCCGTGATGTCCCGAATCTCGTTGTGGCGGAGAGAGGGGCAGCCGCCCAGCGAGCAGGACAGGGCATGGGTGGTCGTGAACGACTTTCCACATGCACACGTTGTCGGGAGATGATCCGGCGTCCATCCATATCGGAGGCATAAGGAGTCTCGAAACGCCCCCTTGTGCAACTTGAAGCCGAAAACTGCAAGTGGCTTGGATGTTAGCCAGCTTGAGGCACCCTTCTCTGACGCGAGGTTCACGGCATACTGGATGTCTGGGTCCAGTTGCTGAAGCATTGCAGCCATCTGCTCATTGGCCAGTTGCGTTGACTCCTTTCGGACTTCTGACTTCAAGAGCTGCATAGCCACTCGAACTCCGCCGTTGTTGGACTCCTGTCTGAGGATCTTGTCGACAAGAGGTTGGGTGATGATGCTGGACTGACGGAATTGGTCCTCAAGATGAGTGGGGTTGATGAGACCCAATCCACCAAGTCTGCAGGGCAATGACAGTACGGCCCTGGTTTGGTCACCAGGCGGACACCGGCCGGTAAGCGCGGGGATGAGCTGAAGACGTACGGCGTCCTCAATGGGCTCGAACAGCGGACCTGTCGCCGGGATGGTGCGAGCGACAAATGACCATTCGTGCTTAACACCATTGCAGAAAGCCGTGTATGCCGCTTGTGGGTGGCTGAGGGCGTACTGGGAGAGCACACTGATCTCGTGACTCCATTTCTGAACCTTGGTTGACACATAGGTTTTGCAGAACTCCTCAGTACCAAGGACCGCGCCAAGATGACGAAACCCATCAGTGCGTATTTGGACCTCCGTGTCGGAGAACAGCTTCCTCGCCTCGGCCTCATGCTGTGGCTTCACAAGAAGGACGGATTTCGTCGCGTTTGTGAAGTACCCGTACAATGGACCCCGGTCCACAAGAATGGACCACCACTTCCTTAGGCGCTTAATGGTGCTTGCTGCGGCAGAGTCATCTGCATACCAGGACTGCAGAGCTTCAGCAATGGAAGCCTCGCGGATGAGGGGGACCGTACCCAAGGCGTACATGGGCATAGCGAGCGGGTCACCTTGGGTTGTCCCCTCACACGAGAGGATGGTCTCGCCATTGCTGAAGAGCCTGGCTGGGCTGCGGTAGGTATTGACGAGTGCCGGTGCCAGAGGTGGACAGAGACGTTGGACATTTTGCAGGCATACTGATCGATTGAGACGGTTGAAGGCATTTGATGCATCCGCAAACAGAGCCCCTTCTGTGGAATCCTCACTGAATGCATTGCGCATGGCATGAATGGCTGCCTCAATGCCCGACTCTTGGCCGCCACAGAGTTGAAGACATCCAACGGCATCCTCTATGTGGGCTTTGGAAATCTTCAGGATTGCCTTACTGACGATGCGCCGTACCACCTCACCGATACCGATGGGCCGGACACCTGGGTCCTTGTCCAGGGGTATAAGGCGGCATGCAACAAATGACTCTAGTGAGATAGGATCGATGTACTGTGTGGCAAGTCTCCGGGCGCAAGAAGCCAATGCATCACACAGACTGTCAGATGCAGCCTTAAACGAGGTGCAGATGTAACGCCAGTCTGCCGCATCCATACCAGATGGACCTGCAGCGCCCTGAGTATTGAGGGCAGCCTGTCGGATGACGTCTCGATTGAGGGCAGCAAAGTATGTGTCGTGGTGGGGCTGAGGGACATCTCCCGGTAGAACAGCCTCAGGGTGGAGAGGTTCGGCTGGTAGGTGTTTCTCCTTGAGCGTATCTCGCACGGACTTGCCCTCTATCATGTCATCCAGGGATAGGACACCTTTGGCTTGGTCCTCTGACAGCATGCGCAGGCCCGACCGGAGCTTCCCTTCGTGAACGTGAGCGGCAAAATGTCTGGCATCATCCTGTGTGTCGCGCCGTTGCTGACTTTTGCCTGCTTTTTGCTGGAATTGCCGCTGGATGGTCCGAGCTTCCAGCATAAGCTCGTTCACGTTGCCTTCTGCCCACAGGGCAAGACGATGTTGTAGGCGGTCCCTGTGGACTTTGTGGTCTTTGCATTGGAACGGCTGTTGCAGAAGGAGCTGTGTGGCGACCATTGCAGTTTTAATTGCAGCACCCTCTCCTGCCCCCCTCTCACCGAAGCATTGGTAGAGTGTCGCCATTATCGATACAAACTTTGAGCCTATCGCTCCCTGAGGTGCTCTGAACAGATTCGGCTTGAAATGGACTATCTCTTCATATGCTGCAGAGATAATCTGTGCTGTGGATTCAGCATCGTGGGTTCCCAGTTGTAACGTGTAGCTGCTGCGTGTGTACAGAGGGAGTGACAGCTGGGGCTCCTCGTCGCCTTCCTCTGCAGTAATTTCCTGCGAGTACGAGCCCGCTAGGTCGGCCAGTAACTCAACTGCCTCAGCTGTCGAAGGCATGTCTGCAGTGGATTCATCTTTCAGCAGCGTGGTCGCAGGCGAGGAATGGACTGTGTCACGGTCGACGGCCGCACTAGCAGTATTAGCAGTGTCGTCTATCTGTAGTTGTCGGTCTAGCAGGTCCCATGCCAGCTGCTGAGACTGAGTGCTGACATCAGCTCCTGTACCCACGGCTCTGCCGCAGGCCGCATGCCCTGCCGCCATTACCGTATCGCCCGTACCCGTATCCTGGGAGGGTGGTTTGCTCGCCGAGGGTGGTTGGTTCTCGCATCTCCCATTTTGAGCAGGGCCGCAGTTTTGGCAGTTCCGTCCACTCTTTACGCAAGCACAGCCAACACAGGAGCCTTTGCCGTTGCACCGACAACATTGGTGGCCGCCCTGCATGGCGCGCTTGGCGGTAGGACGCGCACCGAACTAAAACTAATCGACAATCTGCTCAAACGCCCGGCCCGGCATTTCAATACCATGTTCACTGTTTTACCATGTTCAGCAAGTGCTTGAGGTTTGGGACAGGCAGTGCTAACCAGGGAGTAGTAAAATACCGGTAGTTTACTACTCCCTGGTGTTTGCCATACTATCAGGCTCCTCTTCACATCACATCTCTGCTTGAGTACTCTACAATTTTCGCTCACTAGAACTTTGTGTGAAAGTCTTCACTTCACCCAGGTTTTATAAGTGTTTCACACGCTCACGAACCTCAGCGTCCTGTCCCGCTAGAAACATTTAGCGACTTGTGAAACGAGTGTGTGATGAGAGGGTGTATTCACTACTCCCCCCCCCCCCCACAGGTCCCTATTGGTCCCCGCCCCCACGCTGCCCCCCCCCCCCCCCCCGCTGGTCCCGCCCCACTGGTCACCCCGCTGGTCCCCCTCCCCCTACTGGTCCCCTCCCCCTACTGGTCCCCCTACTGGTCCCCTCCCCCTACTGGTCCCCCTACTGGTCCCCTCCCCCTACTGGTCCCCCTACTGGTCCCCTCTCCCCCCCCCCCCCCTACTGGTCCCCCCTACTGGTCCCCTCCCCCTACTGGTCCCCCCCCCCCCTACTGGTCGCCGCCCCCTACTGGTCCCCACCCCACTGGTCTGCCTCACTGGGCTGAGGCTCGGTGACATGCGGTGTCAACTTTAACTTTCTTTGCCTACTAAAACCTCTCTGATGATCAAGTCATCACTGTTTGCTGTAATTCCCAGTCAATCCTCGGTAGTATAGTGGTAAGTATCTCCGCCTGTCACGCGGAAGACCCGGGTTCGATTCCCGGCCGGGGAGGACATTTCTTGTTTTTTACTTTCTCCCCACCAAACAACTACATTGTACTCATGTATTTTTTCCCGTACTTGTAGCATGCATTTTTACTTTTTGTGACTTTTGATTGTGTGTCATTTCTGTAGCACTTGTTCAAGTCCCATCGCTCGGCGTCGCATGTGGCAAGACTATCTTCTCCGCATCGCAGGCTTCAACTGCTGTTGTCGAGGCTGTCGAGGAGTCGGTGGGCGCCTATCGCCTTTCCAACAAACACCTGCATGTGACCATCGATCGTCATGGCCAGTTAACATCTCTCATTGTCAACAAAACTGGACGGTACGTATGGTCAGCAGGATGGTGTGGAAGCAGCAGCAGAGTGGGACGGCATGTAGCAGTATTTAAAATATAAAATAAACACACACACACACACACACACACACACACACACAGGGCTAGTCAAGAACCACCTTTCCGCTTCCGTGTCACACCCTTTCCGCTTCCGTGTCACACCACCATAAAAAAAATTTTAAAAAGTAAATTATCGTGTCCGTTCCCGAAGGGAACTCACGACGGCCGCTAACACCCGATAAACCCTATATATAGGTGACGGGAAATGTTATCAATTTTATTTATGCTCTCTTCTCTTCTCTCTCTCTCTTTCTCTCTCTCTCTCTCTCTCTCTCTCTCTCTCTCTCTCTCTCTCTCTCTCTCTCTCTCTCTCTCTCTCTCTCTCTCTCTCTCTCTCTCGCTCTCTCGCTCTCTCGCTCTCTCGCTCTCTCGCTCGCTCTCTCTCTCTCTCTCTCTCTCTCTCTCTCTCTCTCTCTCTCTCTCTCTCTCTCTCTCTCTCTCTCTCTCTCTCTCTTACTCTAATTCCTACCCGCACCCCACATTTCCGTTGTCTTTCATTGCTGCAGGGAAGCATTGCCCGAAGGTCAAACTGGCAATCGCCTTGTGATGTTTGACGATATTCCACTGTTCTGGGATGCCTGGGACGTAATGCCATACCATTTAGAAACACGGTGAGTAACTCCAAGCAATGGCCATTCTAGTGCTGTGTATTGCACACTGAGTGCATTTGTAGGGGATGGGGGGGGGGGGCAATTTGCTTGGCCTTCCTACTTTCCTTGTACGAATGAATCTGTGCAGGTGATGTTGTCAGTCAATCCTCGGTAGTATAGTGGTAAGTATCTCCGCCTGTCACGCGGAAGACCCGGGTTCGATTCCCGGCCGGGGAGGACATTTCTTTTTTTCTTCTCGTCGCTTGACTGCCAGCCAGAGAGATCTTCTTTCCTTGCATTCAGTTTCTGCCAGCAAGACTGCATGAACAGTCACCTCCAGAGAAAGAGCTGCACGATTTCACCAGTCCAATTAATGTTTTTTGTCATAGTGCTCACTGCACAGCACGTTCTTGTCCAGGTCTGCCAACACAGCACCAACTTCTGACTGAATTTACATGTACAGTTGCGCTCACTGCAATCCGACCCGGAGTGCAAGCCTGACACGCTGGACCCGTTCCTATTACATCACTGTCCTTGTATATGTGTACGTCCAGCCGCATTCGTACCACTTGCAGGGCATCAAGGGTCGTGCTAGTGCAGAGCACCAAACCATGCACTTTGGGTCGGATCTCACCCAGCACAACTGCACTCGCAGTGCCAACATGACAATTGGCCATGGCTGTGATAGACTTGACTGAATGACAGCGCCTTTCCATATTCTAGCCGGGCGATAGCAGCATTTTCGACCAATCAGCAACTTGTGTGAATCGTGTCAGCTACCCGCAGGATGTGGCACTGTCCATTGTCGCGACAGCACTGTCCATTGTCGAGATAGTGACATCGTTCATTGTCAAATTGTGGTGGCACTGTCCATTGTCGAGTTGTCCATGCATCTATGCCCGTTTCCAGTGGGAAATAGCTGTCCACGACATGATGTCAGTAAACAACCATTATTAATTTCTCTGTGGCCTACCCCCGGCCAACTACCACAGTTATTTGAGACCCATTAAATGGTGATGCGAGTACCGAGTCTATTCGTGCCATCCCTGGACAAAACCGAGAGGACCGGGGTCTGATAGACGGTGAAGATGTGCCATGACTACAACACACTGCATGCAATTCTGCTTGCTGCTGTCATAATTTCCCTGCATGCATGAATCTGTGCCAGTCCCTGGAACCGCCAGTCAATCCTCGGTAGTATAGTGGTAAGTATCTCCGCCTGTCACGCGGAAGACCCGGGTTCGATTCCCGGCCGGGGAGGACATTTCTTTTTTTTTCCTCGAGGTCTTTTCCCGCTGTGCTGTACAGGTTTTTCAGAGTTTTCGAGTTTTCTCTCCAGTCAGTTTGTTATGGCGAAACATCCGAGTTTCGTTCAGATTGTGGTTGCCTCATGGCTGATTCAAATTGGTCATATTTTATGTTCTCGTTTTTTTTCCTTTGCTTTTTTATTGTCAAGGCGGGTTTTGGACAATGCAACAGAGTTGAGAGTGACTGAGACGGGTCCACTGCGTGTCAGTGTGCAGTACAAAGTGCAGATCAGCGAGCGGAGTCACCTCGTACAGACCATCTCACTGTGCAGTAACGAGGAGTTTGTGAGATTTCACACACGGGTAAGCGTTAGAATATGGGCCGCGGTCAGCTAAAACATGTTTGGGGTTTCGTAAAAAAAAACTTGAAACGTGACAGAAATACGAATTGCTTCTGTCAAGCACGCTCACTCTGTCCTTTTAAAAGTCATCAAGAAGTGGCGTTAGCATCTTGTCGAACTTCGTTCTCGCACTTCTTTGGCAGTCTAGTTCAAGTAGCTGGCGAGCAAAGTGACAATTTTCTGGCATAAATAAAATTTGAAATTGTTTCACTCTAAAACATGTTTTAGCTGGCTGTGGCCCATATCACACAGTTCAGGTAGCAGTAGGGTATTGGATAGTTGGCTTCTTTGATGGTCATTTTGATCTACAGCACTGTCAGGTGTCGAAGAACGGAGCGCTGATGGACGAATAGGCTAGGATTTCACCAAGCCTAGCAAACCGATATATACGCAGTGACTGAGCAGCACCTAATCTGTAGCATAAAAAATAAGAACAGTCTAGGCTCACACACATGCACACACACACACACACACACACACACACACACACACACACACACACACACACACACACACACACACACACACACACACACACACACACACACACACACACACACACACACACACACACACACACACACACACACACACACACACACACACACACACACACACACACACACACACACACACACACACACACACACACACACACACACACACACACACACACACACACACACACACACACACACACACACACACACACACACACACACACACACACACACACACACACACACACACACACACACACACACACACACACACACATATACGCACACGTGCACACACGCACACACACGCACACACACACACACACACACACACACACACACACACACACACACACACACACACACACACACACATATACGCACACGTGCACACACGCACACACACACACACACACACACACACACGTACACACATACACACATACCACACACATACACACACACACACACACACACACACACACACGCACACGTGCACACACGCACACACACGTACACACATACCACACACATACACACACACACACACGCACACATGCACATACACACACACACACACGTGCGCGCGCACACACATACGCACACGTGCACACATGCACACACACACGCACACACGCACACACACACACACACACACACACACACCATATCTTACAAAGTGTTGGCGATAGACAAATCCTCTCTGTGTGCTTTTACCCCATGTCCCGATTCAGGTGGATTGGCATGAGAACCGTCAGTTCCTCAAGGTGGAGTTCCCGGTGGATGTGAGCAGCACGGAAGCCACTTACGAGACACAGTTTGGCCACACACGCCGTCCCACTCACTCCAACACCTCCTGGGATGTGGCTAAGTTTGAGGTGAGTGCCAGAAACTTGAGTAGGGCTCACCAGCACTACTGTCTGTACCGTCAGACCTCGCTTATCCGGTCCACTTTTATCCAGATGCCTCGCCATCCGCAAGAAAATAGCTGGTCACAGATCTACAGCGTACGCAGTGCATCCAACATAGCCGGTGTTCGATTATCCGGTTCCCTCGCCTGTCCGGATATTTTATCGGAAAACGGATGTGTGCGGTTTTAAAAGCGAGGTCCGACTGTACTGTCGGTCGCCGAAGAATGGAGCACCGGAGAACGAACAGGCTAGAATATCACCAAGCACAGCATACCAATGTATACACGGTGACTCAACTGTGCATAGACTGTAGTACATGAAAATAAGAACGCTAGGCTAGGAGGCTGACTCCCCAGTTCTTCAGCGACCGACAGTACTGTACTGTCCATTTGACTGCTGACTCTCAAGTTTTTTCCTCATGAATAACGACAACTCGCGAATTCAGGGGTGTAGCAGCCGCTCCAGCAGGTCCGAACCACTTTTTTTTTTAAACATAATGCCAAAAGTGCCCAGAATGCAGGATTTTGTACCCTAATTTCAAAATTTTTGCGGAGGACACCCGAACTCCTCCAACGGCGGTGCTACGCGCCTGGAATAACAACTATAATTATTATTTTCTCCTTGCACGGCCGCGGATCACTGTTCGCAAGGTTGACGTTGTATACAAGTTGGTACAGCCATTGCCATTGTCCTATGGATGCATGCTTGCTTGAGTTTGTACATAGTCTGCCTTGCGAAGAGCAACCTCAGGTATACCAACAACTAGCAAACCACAGCACTATCTTCAGACCAAGTAACCAGTTACAGTCAGACCTCGCTTAACCGCACACATCCGTTTTCCACAAAAATATCCGGATAGGCGAGGGAACCGGATAATCGAACACACATACTGTATGTATGCATGGCATATGCTATAAATCGGTAACCAACGATTTTCTCCCGGACGGCAAGGGATCTGGATAAAAGAGGACGGGATAAGCGAGGTCTGACCTTAACTGCATACTTTTAGCCTCACGAATAACGACAACTTGAGAATAACAATATTTTTTTCTCATGGCCTATCGAGGCTCGTTATTCACAAGGCTCCCTGGATATTGAAGTTGGTACAGCCATGCCGTTGTCCTTTACTTTGGTAATGTGGTTGCTTGACAAAATAATGAGTTTGTGTATTTCTGGAATCTTCATTTGACTTCTGGTGACTTGCATACATGCGTTTGTCACCAACTAACTCTTGTTTGTTTGTCCGTCTGTCCGTCTGTCTGTGTGTCTGTCTGTGTGTCTGTGTGTCTGTCTGTCTTGTCTGCCCGTATGCGCATCATTTTGTCTGCCTGCATGACTGCTTGTATGCATCGGTATATGTGTGCACTATGGATTTACGCTCCTCTTGCCAACACCTCATTCACCACGTACACACACGTACACACACACGCACACACACACACACACACACACACACACACACACACACACACACACACACACACACGCACGCACGCACGCGCACACACACACACGCACGCGCATGCACACACACACACACACACACACACACACACATACGTACACATGCACACGCACACACACACACACGCACACACACACACACACACACACACACACACAACTCCCACCGATTGACTGTACAGCTGTGCGGACACAAGTGGTGTGACTACTCCGAGTACGGGTTTGGAATGGCAGTGATGACCGACTGCAAGTATGGCTACTGCGCTAAGGACAAGCTCATCCGTATCTCATTGTAAGTGTTGTCAAGAATTCCCCCCCCCCCCCCCCCCTCCAAGAGCATGGAACTCCGACCTCCGAGCTATGGATACTCTGCATGATCTCATTACGAAGTCAGATCAAGATCAAGCTGATAGGAGGCATACAGGAAAGTCGTTATGCATGTTGATTGAGTTTGTCCTGTTTGATTGCGATTCTTACCGTGAGCTGATTGGCTTTGGGTTTTCCGACGTGCTACAGTTTCACCCGTTATGGTAGATTCAAAGGCAATGTCTGTGTGCGAGGCGTCTCACATGATGCAACCTGCCAAAGTCCCCGAGTAGCCGGAAACCGGGAAGATCTATGACGCAACAGCCCAGCTTTTTTTTCCCCGTTCATGGTTACGATGGCGAACAGCTCACCGCGCCAGACCCAGTGTGTACAATTGCGTACTCTTGGGAGATTTTGGGCTCTTGGTGCCGTTATTTCTACCGGTATGAAGTTGCCCCGTGTGATATTTTGTTGAATATGCGTGTAGTCGCAGCAGTTGTCAGTCAATCCTCGGTAGTATAGTGGTAAGTATCTCCGCCTGTCACGCGGAAGACCCGGGTTCGATTCCCGGCCGGGGAGGACATTTCTTTTTTTTCTTTTTTTTTCGGCGAATCCTCGATCCCTCCATGTATTCCTCAGGAGAAGCCTGTTTTGCTTTCTGTTCACACAAAGAAATCACGTGGAACGTGCACTGGGAAATTCCTGTTCCACATTTGACAGCTTTCTCACTAATTTGAATTATACCCAGCGGATGCGTACGCATTTTCCTTGCGTGTGCCGCAACGTAGAGAACCTCGTCTCCGCGTAGAAATCTGCAACGGCGCAGATTCGAAGCCAGACTCCTGTTGTCTACGTTTCTACTTTTCACGTAGAGCGGAACCTAGCTACAATATCCTGTACCATCAGTACACATAGCGTGCCAAGTATGCTGTCCATGATCTTATGTGTTTTGTTGTTGTTTTGTGTTGTGTGTTTCTTCAGGCTTCGTTCACCCAAAGCACCGGATGGCAATTCGGACATGGGTTGTCATGAGTTCAGCTACGCAGTATTTCCCCATCAAGGTTGGTAGCGCGCAGTCCACCTCTCACTGCTGACCACTATGCACCAATGTATGGGAGGGGGGGGGGGGGCACGTGTGTCACCTTCTGAGTACAAACTACTTCAAAGTATTTTGGATAATCGTGACACCAAACGCATCGAATTTTAATTTTAATTACGTAAACCAAATAGGGTGTGAGTTTTCACATCTGCGTTTGCAGGTTATTCTTGTTTTCATACTCGTTTTCTCGTCCTCATCCGTGTTCTTGTTCTTTTTACCGTGCCCATCGTTGTTGTCGCTCTGCAGGATCATTCCAAGATGCTGGTGTGATTCGCCAGAGCTACAACTTCAACCACCCGCTGTCAATCATGGCCAGAGCATCGTCGTCACCGCAAGCTGCAGTACCGGGTGGGTATCTCTCTGATGGGCACTATGGTATGCGTGCGCAGTGCGTGTACCGGCGTGCTAGCTGACATCCCACCTAAAGTCCATATACGTACGTGGCTTGTTTGTCCGTCTCTTTTATCTTCTTACGCTACTCTCTCGGCGCGCTTTGTCTGTGCAGATGCCGAGACCACTAAGGTCGGCTAAGCAGCAGCAGCCCCCCCCCCCCCCCCCCCACACACACACCACCACCACCACCACCACCACTTTACACACTTATTCGGAAGCATAGAGTGGCCTTAGTATAAAATAATAAATATTTGCATTTCAAGTTCAAATTGAGCGAGTTTTGCAAGTAATTTTTGTGTGCGTGTGTGCACGCGCGTGTGCCTGTCACCGTGGATGTGGACGTGCATGTGTATTCGTGTGTGTACGCATGTTTTCCCGTGACAGCATCAAGCTCGGTATCATGGCTGACCATTGACAATCCTGCAATCGTGCTGGAAGCCGTGAAAATGGTACTTTTTTCGTGATATTTCATGTCTGTACTGTTTACATTGCAGTGTAGCTGTACATGAACTAATACATGAACGTCAGTGATGTCGCTTAGCGAGACTTCTGCGTGTGTGTACAATTGTGTTTGTATGTGCGTGCATGTGTGTGCGTGTATGCTTGTGTGCGTGCGCGTGCATGTGTGTTGTGCGAGTGTGTGCATGAGTGTGTGTGTGAATGCATGTTAGATTGTATGTGTGAGTGTATGCTTTTGTCAGTTCTACCTTTAAAGCTTTCTTTAACCCACATGCATGCACGCATACACACAATAAAACTTAAAACAAACAAAACATCAATATGCACATTTATCCAGACACGCTCTCACATACACACACACGCATGTGCGTGCCAAACGTACAAAACGCGGACACACGTACACCAAGCAGATAGAATACAAGGAAGTGGGGTTTGCCATAGTTTTTTTTCTTTCAATTTTGTCTGATAAATATTTACGAGACTTTGCATCGAGCGACACCGTGGATAACATTGAGCCAAGAATTATGCAATAAACCAGAAGAGATATCTCTTCACAAGTAGGCAAATAAATGCGTAGGTGCCCGGCAACAGCAATCGGGCGAGTCACAGCAATGTACGTATTGCAACTTCAATGATACACATACACGGTTGACCACCCATGCATCGAACCGGCGGGTCAACCACATGGTGGCCCGGCAACTTCAAACGGGAACACACCGATACAACAGACACAGTTGACCACCCATGCCTCAAACCGGCGAGTCAACCACATGGTGGCCCGGCAACTTCAAACGGAAACACACCGATACAACAGACACAGTTGACCACCCATGCCTCAAACCGGCGGGTCAACCACATGGTGGCCCGGCAACTTCAAACGGGAACACACCGATACAACAGACACAGTTGACCACCCATGCCTCAAACCGGCGAGTCAACCACATGGTGGCCCGGCAACTTCAAACGGGAACACACCGATACAACAGACACAGTTGACCACCCATGCCTCAAACCGGCGGGTCAACCACACAACGACATACAGGTGTCACAACACTGAGACAGTACAGCACAACACTGAGAGGCAAATGCATTTAACCCTCCCAAAAACCAGTGTTCACGACCAAGCATTTCTCACGGCATCGCTCATTAGCATAACTTCCTACAAGTAACCATGGCAAACCCCTAAGTGATACCCACAGAGCCACACCGGCACAAGGACTGCACAACAAGCGGACGGCACGACACTGTACAACACTACAAATGTACCTCACTTCTGTTCTCAACACCACATGGGCGTGGGCTGTTCCAGTCTTTGCTGCTAGCCATTGCACAGAGGGCATACCGGCTGCACGCCTGACATAGTGATCGGATGCTGCACTTCGCCAGCAGCCTGCACGGCATATGGCTGCTTCACAGACACTTGTACTCCGGTGAGCCATGAGTGTGGCCCCGCCAATGCGCACAGGATGGGAGCTCACCCGGTTGCAGTTGAGGATCTTGGTCGAGCAAACTCGGGAGAAGTAGCTGCCGTCGACGAACACAAACACTGGCCGTGAGCTGCCGGCAGTAGCGGTCAGGGACCGGAACTCGGCTATAGCCGAAACTGGGTACATCAGATTATGTGTGCGCAAATACCGGGCTTAAAGGTCTGAATCGCTCATGAGATCATTGCTGGCAGCAATCAGAGCGGCGAGTTCAGCGGAGGAGTTGGCACCAGGCATTGGTTGGCTGTGGAAGCCAGTTCTCGGAAGCGAGTAATCACAATAGGTTCATGCTGCATCTCAGCGGCCCATTGCCCCAAAAACGATTGTCCTTGATAGAAACCGCAGAAGCCAACATCAGAGGCATCCGTGAATAGCTCAAGGTCAGGGGACTTTGAACACTCGACATCGTAGAAGAAGGATTGGCCATTCCAGTTTGCGGCAAAGGAGCGCGACCATTCGATGTCCAAGTGAGCTTCTGTGTCGATGTTGACTACTGACTGAAGAGACAGAGTTGTCCAGCTAAGATACAGGAGTTGACGGATGAAGGTCCTGAGGAACCACCTTTGCGGCAAGGACAAGGTTCCGATCAGCGACAGCAGTTCCCGCGTTGTGTAGCTAGTGCGCGTGGACTACTCACTCAAAGCCGCTAGTCACTTTGACTAACTGGATGACAGAAATTGTTGACAAGGAAGTTGCTTTGCTGACACGAGGCAGGGCAAAGCGGCCACGCAAGATTTATTTTTTCATCCACCATTTTCGGAAAAAATATTTTTTATTCATGTGCCGCGTGACGAACCCGTGACAAAACACGTGCATGCGTGGGCTAACTTGGCTTTGCTGCTCAAAGCCGTCATGTCATGACCCAAGCTACTACGCAGACTCCAGGGCATGTTTGTATACCCAGCCAAGACTCATGTTCCAATTCGCGTGCTTGTTTTGTTGTCGAGAGTTTGACTTCCTAGGTGACCCCCTTGCTTTCTACTTATATCAAGCATATATTGGACTGCTGCGTCTCTCTCTCTCTCTCTCTCTCTCTCTCTCTCTCTCTCTCTCTCTCTCTCTCTCTCTTTCTTTCTTTCTTTCTCGTTGCATGTGCTGTGTGAACAGGCTGAGGAACAGGTTGAGGGCCGTCCAGGAAGCCTTATCTTGCGTCTGTACGAGTCTTTCGGCGGCCGAGCTACGGGCAACATTCGTTTTACGTTTCCCGGTGCACTGAACGTACAGTCGGTAGTGAAGTAAGTTACTTATACGATGAGTGGGTGCAGACCGCAGCAGGTCTGTGTGTGTGTGTGTGTGCGTGTGCGTGTGTGTCTGATGAGTGTTTCACACAAAACTCCGAGTAACAGCGGAAATAGATTGGTTTGCTTCATTGCTGTGTGATCTTTGTATCTGTCTATCTCTCTTTATCTCTCCCTCACCCCCCCCCCCACACACACACATACACACACGAGCGCGCGCACGCACTCCCATGCTCTCTCTCTCTCTCTCTCTCTCTCTCTCTCTCTCTCTCTCTCTCTCTCTCTCTCTCTCTCTCAACTGAATGCTGTACGCGTGGTTCTTCCTTTGTTATTCTCATTATTTGCAGATGCAACATCCTTGAAGAGGCAATAGCCGACTCAAATGGAGCCACACCGTCACTGACTTCTTCAGGCAGCCAAACGGCACAGCTGTGCGTGAAGCCGTTTGAGGTTGTCACTCTGCGATTGGAATTCTAATCCACTCTCTCCTGTCTCTTGTTTACCCTGCTAATCTTTGAGTGAGTGAGTGGAATTGCAGCCATCGTGTTCTCAACGTAGAGGGCACTGTCTTTCGAGGTTGTCACTGTGCGACTAGAATTCTAATCCACTCTCGCTGCTCCTTGAATGAGGGGCATTTCCAGTCACCGTGTTCTCAACGTAGAGGGCACTGCTGACCACTTTATCAACACTGGACAATAGTCGCCTGACTACTAACATTGTGCATACGCAGAACAGAATGCTTCCAAGCTATTTCAAAATAGAGTGTTCGATGTCTAGGGCCAGAGCAACTTACAACACCCTCTTCTTGTTGTACTTCGAAGTACATGTATATATTATGCAGAACTGCGGCTATTTTTCTATTAGGTTTTCTAGTCGTTTGGGATTTTATTCTATTTATGTTTATTCATTATTTTTTTCACGTGAGCTGATCTTGTCACCGGGGCGAGCTGGTCTCGTTCCCAGACTATGTCCACGGTACTACTGAAGTGAGACTCTTGACGATACGTGCCGGTGTGTGCGAGCGTGTGCATGCGTATGTGTCTGTGTGCATGTGTGCGTGTGTGTCCCATATGGTGCAGTGGTATGTGCAGTCGATTTCCAATCGAGAGGTTGCGGGTTCAATTCCCGACGATTAAGGTCGCACACGTCTTTCTTCTCTTTCTCGGTCTCTTCCTGACTTTTCTTTCATTCTCCTGGGTGGTTACCAACAGCCAGTGTATGCGCCGGAGTATGTGGTGTGGTGTGTGTGTGTGTAGAAAAAAAAGAAAAAAGAAAAAAATGGAAAAATGAAAAATAGGGATTCACTGGCCAGAAAAAGTCACTTCAATCAGCTGTGTGGTGGATACCAGGCTAAAAATAGTGGCGGTCAATTCATCAGCCTTGCAAGCTGTTGAATGGTGTAATCCCAACACAAGTTGCTATGTCTAACATAGCTGTTCGCTATCATCGCTTCCGCGATGGGCAGGTCTGAGGTCTGAGGTGTGCGCGTGCATGTGTGTACGTCTGGAATGACTGTATATCGCACTGCTTGCCGCACACGTACTCCCATCGAATTCCATCAATTACAATCACAACACAACTTCAATACAGCAACACACTTCAATTGGATCAAACAATTGAGGTAGTAAGTTAGACATAAAAATGGAAAAAAAAGAGGAACTCAACATGACTTTTAAAAAATCTTGCCCAGCAAGAATTTCATAATTGAATAGGAATGTAATGGGTACTAGGAAAGTCACTATAGAAATATAGAAGATGAAATATGCCACTATACCACTAGCTGCTCTTTCCACTAGAACTACTGCTGCTGCCTACGGATAGGTAACTGGAGAGAGAGAGGGGGGGGGGGGGAGGGAGAGAGACGAGGAGAGAAGGAGACAAACAGAAAACAGAGAGACAGCCGGGAAGGCAGAAAGACATGGAGAGAAGGGAAATGACCGTGCTACATAATATAATCTAGTGACTGCTGACAGAGCACTGCACTCTGCAGTGCTGTGAGACTTACATCCAACTTACATGCATACTAGTGATAGTGATGATATAGATATTACCTCTCACAGTTGTTGATACTTGGCCTAATGTTGCCTGATACTAACGGATGCTATGTACTACTATAGAAGTCCTGTTGCAGTGTAGAGAAGACAAAGGAGATGATGATATCGCAGAACAGTGCAACTGTGTTTAATAATGCTGTCACGCTACACTTGGCATTCAGGTAAAATACCTCGCACAACGGAACGCAACGCGGTGATCAAGTCTGGAAATTTAACACGGCTCGCACACATTCAACCTAGCACAAAACTGAACTAAGTTCAACTAACACACTGACAAACCTGAACACAGCTCTATAAACACAACACACACTATTGCACAGAACACTGGAACCCAACAAAGCACATCGTGCATGGCATCAAGATCATGGCAATCCAATACAGTGATTGCAGTGAGTGCAGGGACTGCTGCATGTGTGTGTCCTCTTGTGTGCATGAAGGGCACGGTTGTACTTTGTGTAGCTCCCGACCTTTTCGAGTTCAGCCTTCACCCATGCACTTGGCCACGGGGTGGGGTGGCTCTGGGCCTACCAGAGTCGCCACCTGGCATGTTCACAGGTCCTAGAGAAATCACTGGCCGACAGAGATAGATATTCTCAATGCGATGTTGAGCAGGGCTGAGAGCTGTACCCGTTCGCCGATGCACGTGCTCTCTAGCCGGAAGGAAACGTACTCGACGATGACGTTGTGCCGCTCCTCTGCATGCCGCCAGTACTGATAATATATAAAAAAAACTTGTGGAGTTGATATGACAATGTTCATGTTGCACACATGGCGGGAAGGAAACATACCCAACAATGGCGGTGTGCCGCTTCATACACACCACTGATATATAAACTTGTGGAGTTGCCATGACAGTGTCCATGCTATACAGGTGGCAGGTTACCCATTGCCATGACTACGGCTATGACAGCCTGCACAGCACCTCAGCCATCCAGCGTGACAGCACGCACCACAGGAGCACGTCGAGACGGTCGTCCCAGTCCGGATTCGCGCCCATGGCCTTCTCCAGCACCGATGCTCCGCTGCCCGTCAGCTCACGCTGCACCAGCGCCACAAACTCGTCGTGCGTCACACGCGACCCCTCTCCTCCTCCGCAGACGGCAGAGGCAACGGCCTGAGCGGCCTCGTCACGGTCCTTGTCGCGTCGGAACAGCCTGGCCATGGGCTCGTTGCAGTACTGGCGTACGGCCGTACACAACTGATCAACATCGACCGATGATGGAGGTGACTGCTGCTGCTGCTTGAACAGCTCTCGCCACAGAGCCTCACCCGTAGTCTTGTCGTCCAGCTGTGCAGGCATGGCAACCGTCTCGGGACTGCTGCCACCGCTACCGCTATCACGTCCGTTTTCCTTGCTGTCTGATGGCGCAGAGGAGAAGGATACCGTGGACGGGTTGCTCAGCGGTGACTGCTCATCACTTCCTAGGCCAAGTAAGTCATCAATACTCAGTGCTGGTCGTCCCCGCTGCTGCTGTTGTTGTTGTTGGTCACAGTCGAAGCTGGAGATGTCGATCAGATCGCCAGTGGTGGTTACCGCCGCAGTTGTGTCTCCCTGCGATGTTGTCTGCACCGTGGTGTTTGTGTGTGGACATAGATGAACACACAGACACACAGACAGACACACACACACACACACACACACACACACACACAACACACACACACACACACACACACACACACACAAGGCAGGCACACAAATAACTAAAATTAATACTGTATACAAGGAGACTGCCAAGGTAACCAATCAAGTCGGGTGCTACACTGCCCGAAGAATGTTCAATGTCAGATCATCAGGGATGCCACTTGTTACGATTTTTGGAAACGTTCCGATTTTACAGGTCGCTCCGAAAACAATCTTCCCTTTCTCACTACGATTGTTCACGAAACCATAATCTGTTGTTTCAGGCTCTTAGAATCCTAAAACTGCTTCGGCTTATAAAGGGAACACTGCCTCCTTACTCCTCTGCCCCTCAACGGGCGATACCCACGGACCCCGTTCAGATGTCTTCCGACAGAACAGCGGCAACCCTGAATCATGTATGAGGCAGAACTTTCTAGAAGTGCCTACACAGTACTAGTAGAGAGATAGAGAGAGCCAGCTACTGTGCAGCACACAGTTGGTCATGGTTGCAGATGTCCACTGCACATTCACATCCATGCTATCAAGAGCACTATCGTACTGCCGGTCACGGAAGAACTGGGCGGTCAGCCTCCTAGCCTGAACTGTTCTTATTGTCACGTACTACGGTCTATGCGCAGTCGAGTCGACTTGCATAAATCGCTATGCTGTGCTTGGTGAAACTCCAGCCTGTCTGTTCTTCGGTAGCCGACAGTACTGTACTCATGTACGACTCACCCCGTTTACAAGCAGAGACTCGGGTGCCCGCAGCGACAGGGGATTGCCGGGGCTGGGCC